TCCTTCCTTCCTCCCTTCCTTCCTTCCTTCCTTCCTTCCTTCCTTCCTTCCTTCCTTCCTTCCTTCCTTCCTTTTCTTTTCATTTTCAGAACCTTTTTTTTTTAATTCTTTTTTTTTTTTAAAATATATCTTTATTGATTTCAGAGAGAGGAAAGGAGAAGGAGAGAGAGAGAGAGAGAGAAACATCAGTGATGGAGAGTCATTGATCGGCTGCAGCCCACAACCCGGGCATGTGCCCTGACCCGGAATCGAACCCTGATCGCTTGGATCCTAGGTCGACTCTCAACCCGAGCCATGCCCGGCCAGGCTCATTTTCAGAATCTTTTTGGAAGCAAAATATAAAGGCAAAATCTTATATTTCTTTAACACAGAGCTGCCTGAAAAAGAGTTTATCATTGGAGTTGTCTGGAACAGGTCTTTACATTTGTATTATGCATTCTAGTTTACACATCTCTTTAACATACATTATTTTATTTGGTTCTCAAAATAAATTTATGAGATAGGAAGAGGTAGAGCTTCAGCCCAAGTCTTCTGACTCAATGATTTTTCTCTTCCCATTCACCATGCTTCCGCACCTCTGCCTTCTCACTCCGTCTCTCTCCCGTTCACTTCTTAAGGCTTCTGTATGAAGTCATTTTCTGATGATATGAGGTCATTCTTTTCTATCTCCAAATTTCTGTTGTTTACACTGCCTATTCCCCATCTTTAATCATTTTTGTACATTTTATTGAAGTATAATAAAAGTACAGAAAAAGGAATAAATTGTAAGTGAGTTATTACAAAGTGAACATAACCATCCAAATCAAGAAATAGGACCCCAGAAACCTCCTCAATCCCCTTCTAGTCTCCACCGCTGAGCGAAGTTAATCATGGTCTTCACTTTGAATACCATAGAGTAGTTTTGCCTTTTATACATATGACATATACTTTCTTGTGTTTGCTTTCATTCAACTTTGTTTTAGAAATTCAACCATGTTGTTTTGTGTAGTAATAGTTTATTCATTCTCATTGTGATATGTAATATCTCATCATATGGATATACCTCTATTTATCCATTCTTCTGTTGATGGATATTTGTATTGTTTCCAGTTTGGGCTTTTATTAATACTGCTGCTATGAATATTCTTGTTCATGTTTTTTAGTGAACATATGTACACATTTCTGTTGGAGTATATATATATATATATATACACACACACACACACACTTAGAAATTAAATGATTGATCATGTAGGATGTGCATACATTCAGCTTCAATAGATACTGCCAAATAATTTTCCAAAGTGATTGTACACTTCCACGAGCAGTTTATGAGGGTTCTAGTTTTCTACATCATTGTCAACCCTTTTTTTGTGTGTGTGATCTTTAGAATGTGCTATTTAGTTCTGTTTCTTGTGTAGTGAGTCATCTTTCTCTTCTCCACAAGTTACGAGCTTCTTGAGGACAGGGATTCTGTTTGTATCCTAAAACCTGGTATAAGGCTGACAACTCTGGAGCATTTTATAGGTGTTGGATGAATGACGCATATAAGGACAGAAAGGAAATAATAAGACATAGCCATACAGTGGTTTTGTTTGTTCATACAACAAATATTTGAGTGTTTCCTGTGTTGCATGCACTGTACTTGATCCTGATATTCTACCCCATTCCTACTCATCGATCTTTTAGGTGGTGGTGATAGAAAATAAGCAAGCACATAAATAAATATATAATTGTACATTGTAATGAGTACTGTGAATAAAATGAACAGGCTACTGCTATGATAGAGTAGTGCAATAAAAAATGATTTTAGATAAAATGGCTAGAGAAAGCCTCTTTGAAGTGACATCTGAGTATTTCAAGGGTATTTTTTCTCTTTTACAAAAATTACTCATAGCTTTTCAATATATGCAAAAGAAAAAGGATGTCTTTAAAGGTCAAGGGAATCTTTTGGGGAGCACAGGGGTATAAAAAAGTAAATATGTGTGCTTATAGATGTGTGTAGGTATGGGACAGCTAGGTATCCTTAGTATTAGATACCTAGGTAATTCAGTAGTTCAATATAGTGTTAATGTTAACTAATGAATGTGGTAGGACAGAAATATGGCAGGTGGTTAGACAGTCACAGAAGGAAACCATTGGTTACTCCTAGAGCTCTGGGCAAAGAGAAAATCATGGAATTTAATAGAGGAGAACTCTCCCCAAAGCTGAAATTGCTGTCTGTTGTGCTTTTGGAGCCTAAGTGTTTTGTGTTTTAGATGGACTATTACATTTGATGTGTGTGATGTAATGGGAGGTGTTCTGTGTTTAGTCTGTGTTTTACAAAGCCTGCTTGATACCTATGAATAAAAGCTTAAGTGTCCTTTGGACTGGCCAGAAGAATCCTGACTAATCTTTTAAGATCTTTGTTTGGAAACAGAAGTAAATAGTAACTCTACACAATTAGAAATTCCATTTTTTCTTCATTAGGATTATGAAAAAATTATTTTCATTTAATGTGTTTCATGTCTCCTTGGAATAAGCCAGACTAGAGGGGTAACCCTCCTCCTGCCCCCCTCCCTGCTCCTTTTTATTATAAAGATAATATACCATTATTGAGAGCTTGGAAACTAGATTCTGAAACTCACCCGTAGTTCTACTAATTTAACAAAATAACTTTTTCATTTCAGTGTGTTCTTTTCTAGGGTTGCCCATGTGCATTCATATTTTCATATATACTTTTATACATATTATGTGTGTTTTTTATGTTACTAAATAATAATAATCTTTAATGTAAATTATGGACTTTGAGTGATAGTAATGTATCTGTGTAGGTTCACTGATTGTAACAAATGTACCGCTCTGTTGAAGGATGTTGATAATAGGGGATGTTGTATGTATGGGGGGAGTGGATATGTATGTGTGAGCTTTCCAGCTCATTTTTGCTGTGAACCTAAAACTGCTTTAAAAAATAAAGTCTATTAAAAAAATCTCTGGTTACCGGATTTCCCATTGAGTATCTTAATTTAATTACCATCTCCTTCCTTATTGGACCTCCCTTTTTACCCATCTTCATTCTACAATGAGGATCTCTTATATGCAGTTTTTCTCATTAGGAACTTATTTTCAAAACTATGTCTATTGGTCTTTATTTTAATAATACTAGCCTAATAGAGTTGTGGTGAGGATTGAATAAGGTAATCTATGTAAGGCACTTAGCATAGTACCTGACACATAATAATTGTAAATAATTTTGCTATTATATTGCCAAAATACTTTCAAATGCAATGTGTGAACATAAAAGGAAGACAGTTCTGATCTGAACAATGATGATGGTGATGATGGAAGCTTCTTTTATTTATTATCTATTTTGTAAAAGGCATCTTACATATATAGTAGTCCCCCCTTATCCTTGGGGGATATGTTCCAACACCCCTAGTGGGTGCCTGAAACCGTGGATAGTACCAAACTCTATATATACGTTTTTTCCTGTACATACATGCCTGTGATAAAGTTTAATATATAAGTTAGGCATAGTAAGAGATTAACAATAATAACTAATAATAAAATAGAACAGTTATGACAATATACTGTAATAAAAGTTGTGTGAATGTGTTTTCTCAGAGTATCTTATTGCACTATATAGTCACCTTTTCACTTAAAAGAAGCACTTTATGGTATCTCTTTGGCATATCTGAATTGCCAGCATCATTGCTCTTGTGCTTTAGGGCCATTAAGTAAAATAAGGGCCACTTGAATACAAGCACTGTGATACTGTGACAATCAGTCTGAAAACCAGTGTAGCTACTAAATGACTAACTGGCAGATATCGTATACAGTATGGATACGCTGGACAAAGGGATGATTCACATCCCAAGTGGGATGGAGTAGGAAGGCGTGAGATACCATCACTCTACTTAGAACTATGTGCAATTTAAAACTTATGAATTGTTTATTTCTGGAATTTTCCATTTAATATATTTGGATTGTATTGAGCGTGGGTAGCTGAAACCACTGAAAGTGAAACCATAGATAAGGGGGGACTATTGTATTATTTCCTTCAGTCTTCATTACAGCTGAGTTTCAGTAATTTCCCCATGATCACCTAGCTTATAAGTGGCAAAAGCAAGTTTTAAACTTAAAATTGATTGATGTGAAAGTCTTTGGGTTTCCCCCCCCTGTGTACTACACTGCTGCCAATGTTTAAGTAAGTCTTTATTGCAGTTCTAGTTCTTAGAGCAGATTTATTTAGTTCTAGGTTTCCAGGGCTGAATTCTTTTATTTATCCAAGTATTCAACAGATATTTATTGAGTACCTACCATATATCTGACAACATTCTAGGTGCCAATCTTAAATCCTCTTGGTGACCAGATCACTAGGAACTGGGTTAAGCAAGGTTGTGAAGATTCTATAGTTTTCACTTTGAAGCAGCTCTTCTTAGATTAACCCTATAAGTGAATGCTCAGTGTTGCTCAAACCTGTTTTTTTGTGTTTTTTTTTGTTTTTTTAATCCCCAAGTCGCCCCAGATGAGCCAGTCCCTAGCATGTGGTGGATCAGAACAGATTTCTGGAATAGACATACAGCTGAGTAGGAAGTATCACACCACAAATAAGGTAAGAATTATTAGCGCTTTCTATGTTTATAGAGGTTTTCACATGGGTGTTCTTATTTGAATCTCAGCAAAATTGTTAGCTGGATGAGGCAAGGAATTTTATCCAATGCAGAAGGTGAGGCTCAGGAAAATGAAGTGACTTGCCTAAGGTTACAAGGATGGTAAGTGGCAGACCAATTGAATATTTGAACCTTAGTCTTCTGATCCCATGTCCTTTGTTTCTTCCATTGTACTGTCTTGCCTGGACAAAGCTTTAGAGAAGTAAGTCTGTATGAATTTTTTACATCTTAAAAATAAAATAATATTTAACTTTTGGAGAATTTATTGATTATATAGTCTGCCTTCATTTGGAGAGGCTTAGCATTAGAACAGGTTTTCCTTGGAGTTTATTTGCAAACTCATGTCTTCTGTAGTCATTAATAAAATTTGTTATACTAAGAAAATGCAAGAGTTTAAAAACATTTATCCAGTGCTTATTTGACTGCTTTCAGACAGTATTTTTCTTTCCTTTTCCTGTTATGTCAATAAACATAGAACATTCCTTTTCTCAGAATTGTTCTTTGGGAAATGTGGAGTCAAGATTTCCTTTTAGAAGTACTGTTTTTTTTTAGAACTTTTATTCTGATACCCAGAATTGATCATTTCCTAGGTATGGGTCCATAGGCATATGGTCAGTGAGGTGGGTATGCCTTGTTTTGAAATTTGGAGAACATATATTAGATAGAGTTCCAGATGGGTTTGCACTGAGTGATAAGATGACCAGAAAAATGAGAATTAAAAATTCTAGGTGGAAAAAAATCTAAGCAATAAAAATGCTCTTAGACCTAATAAGAAACAAAAGCATTTAAAAATTTTTTTTGGGGGGGGCACTAATTTTGGTACCCCTTTTTTGGTTAAATAGCTTTCTACTACCAAGGATTTCCCACAGCCTGTTGAGGAGAAGGTTGGTGCCTTCACGAAGATAATAGAAGCCATGGGATTCACAGGACCTTTGAAATACAGTAAATGGGTAAAGTCTTTTAAGTTCTTTTCATTTTTCCTTTTGGGGCTTTGTGCTTTCTGCTCCTTATAGAAGATTTTTTTAAGTTTCTGCTTTGCTTTTGTGAAATTCATACATTATTTTGAGAGCTTCAGAATGTGTTGTTATCCTCCTGCCCCCTTCCCAAGTCAGGTCTATACAGCATAAGGGGCTGAAATGTTCCCTCTACTCCCTTAACTTGATTCCTTAGCAGTATCTCAGTAACAGGTAAGCCAATAAGACTGGGCTTTCCAGGTTCTTGCTACATGGTATGTCATGTAGATGAGTTCTAAGGAATTAGGTGCGCCAGCCAGATGCTTTGATGGACAGTGTTCTTAAGGAAACATTACTCTCTCCATATTCATAAGTGATTTTCACTAGGTCATTATAGTGACTTTCTTTAAAATTTTACTAAGAAGTATCTTTTAAATTACTAATTACCGCTGTGATTTATTATAATTCTTATTATGGAGGGATATTTGCTGATTATCATTCCTAGTCAACTCTTGGCCTAACATGTTATGTTATATAGTAGTTGTTGTAAGTTAATGAATGTCCTCTTTGCATCAGGTGCATACTGCTTCTAGGCTTTTTAAACAGTGCCTTTAAGCAATTGAAGTAATAAAACATTTGCTATTCAGTTTTCCTCATTCCAGTTATCTTTTAGCACTACTAGTTTCTCTACCATTATGGCAGAAGTGCCTTTTAAAATTGCTAGAATGGCCTGGCTGGTGTGGCTTAGTGGTTGAGCACAGACCCATGTACCAAGAGGTCACCAGTTCGATTCCCCGTCAGGGTATACACCGGATTTCGGGCTCCATATCCCCAGTAAGTGCTGTGCAGGAGGCAGCCAATCAGTGTTTCTCTCTCCCTCTCCCTTCCTCTTTCTCTAAAATCAATAAAAATATATTAAAATAAATTACTAGAATGTTGGACAAGCCTAATCAGTCATAAGTTATATATTAATCAAAGCAAGCCAATAGATTTTATCTATTTTCTAGATAACACCATAGTTTTGCCCAAATTACCAAATAATGCCAGTTACACCATTTTAACAAGTTGGATTTGAATTAGAATTTCAATTTTATTAGTCTTCTACTTTTAGTTTCTTATAATGTCTGGTTCTCTCCCTAATGATTCTCACTGTAGCAAATATAGGCTTCTCTCTATAATATCCCTTTTACATAAATTCTGAAAAGTGAATAGTGATTCCAATAACAGGCTTTGGAAAGTATAGAAAATAATACACACACTAGACCCTAAAGTTATGAAGTACCTCCTTAGTCATCGAAGAAATATTAGCTATGTTCATGAAAGTTATCTTTCCTATATCTTAAGTCTTTGACAATTAATAATCATTGTTACATTTGGTAATGTTATTAACCAGAATCTTTTCCCCTGTTAAAAAAAATGGTTATGATTATGTCATTTGGATTGAAAAACTTAAAATGTGTTTTGTTTGAAAATTAGAAATTAGTTAAGAGAAAAGGCAAATGAGAGCAGAAAGAAAAGAAAAAATTTATTCACTTGATGGTTGGGTTCCACTTGGTTGCTACTATACTCTTTGTCTAGTGTGTTTTTTTATAATTCCAGAGGAAAGGTTGGCTACCACTTGGAGGATTACTAAATCACCAGAAAATTTCTTCATTGCTATATCTTAAGTTAGCCTTTGATTTTTCTTGATTCCCTTGTGATCTCAACTAAGTTTCTAATATTTGCATTTTAAAAACTTTTGGTGATGTGGCACTCTCTATTTGCTATAACCATTTTTATAATTTGTGACATCGAAACATCCAAGTATGACATTCTAGTATAATTTAGGTGGGAAAATACAGGTATAACTTTCCATTTTGAAAGATTGTGAACTCTTTTTAGCAAATGCTGACTCTGAAATCTATGACTAGACACTTGTTTAGGATTGTACTGGCAAGATTCTTTGAGTTTTGTGTTTTTACATTCCTTTGATTAGGGAGTAAACTGCCTGCTTGTCTGTCCACATCAGCAGTATCAACCTTTTTCCTCCATCTTTTTCTATAATGTTTACTTGTGGGTTCCATTTTTCTTCTAGATTCATATTTTGGAATTTAAATGTAGCTTTTCCTTACCTATTTGACTACTGTGAAATAACTATTCTTTTTCATTATCTTTATGTAGCAATATCAGGTAAGACAAGGACAGCATTTACCAGATTCAGCCACATGCCGTAGATTAGGCAGTTTCCAAATTATCATTAAAACAAAAAATTAACCCATTTCTGAAGGACAGTGGCACACTGGAATGCATTTAGGAATAGGCACTGAGCCTTGTGAAGGCTTTAGAAACTGTTGAATGAAGAATGTCTGAAGGAAGTAAGGATGCTTAGCCTGGAAAAGGGAAGACATGAATGTTCTTCTCAGATATTTGAAGGGCAGATATAAAAAATAATAATGAAGAGACTTAATCTGATGTATTTCAGTGGGCAGATGATGTTTAATAAGTGTTACACGAAGCATATTTAAGTTCAGTTATCAAAAATCTAATAAGAGTTGTCCTCCAGTGGGATAGGTAGCCTCACAAGGTCATTGCACTTATCTGAACAGGGACCCAGATGGTTGACCGTGAATCAGGAATGCTGCAGAAGGAATTCCAGTACAGAATAGAAGGTTCAAATGACTTCAGAGCCCCTTCCTTTAGTGTAAGCCTTTTACTAGATTTGTTTTTCATCTTGTAGGGTGGGACAAAATGCATGTTAGTGGGAGAGCTGATTTTCATTTCCTAAAACTGTCTTATGTGTTTCTGTTTTAGTCAGGTAGACTGATGAAGTCTTTCAAAGTTAGAATGAAATAAACATGAAGTCCTCTGAGGACCAGAGCAATTTATGCATATTGACTGGGTGGAAATTTAGTCCACCTACCTCCTTAACCTACATTAACACGTGAATCTTGAAGAGGTTCTTTCCCCAAGTTATTATTTCCAATCCCTGTGATGGTCTCAAGGGACTTGCTTTAGAGATTTGTCCAGGAAAATGGCTCACCCAAGTATAAAGACTTGGCTTTGCTGTAGGAAAAGTGAGGAACTATAAAATTCTCCTGATTGCCACAGTATGAGCACTGTGTAAATACCTGGCCAATCTGGTGAAGTCTTCATTATTTGTAATGAATGCTTTCTTCATGAACATGTGGGGGAAAACTTCCTTCTCAAGGAAAGATTTGGGCCTTGGACACAAGTCTCCCTTTCCTTAGGCAGGGTGATTAATTATGGACCTGGAGGACTCTATGTATAAGGGAACTCCAGAGTTAAACAAATCAAGAAATAGCTATTAGGAATTTTACTTAAAATTATAAATGTGTCTAGAGTCAAACAGGCCATAAGCTCTATGAAAGCAGGAGTTTTTGACTGCTTTGTTCACTTCTCTATTCCCAGTGTCCAAATCAATGCCAGACATTGAGTTAGATACTCAGTAAATTATTTGTCAAATGAAGCAAAGAGCTGACAGGTGTCCTAAACCCTCTGTCTCAGGATAGGAATAGGCCTGTCAAGGCCAAAGTATTAGGATAATGATATCATTAGGATATCATTAGTGTGGTGATGGCACAGACCATTGCTTCCCAAAATATGTTCTGTGTCAGATACTGCCAAGAGCCTGAAGGTGTTAATGAAGGTAAACAGGTTTGTTTTTAGCCTACTGATATGGTGAATTCCACTGATTCATTTGCAAATGTTGAATCAACTTTGCATTCCTGGGATAAATCCCACTTGATCATGATATATTGTCTTTTCTAAATATTGATGGATTCTATTTGTTGATACTGTGTTTTGTTAAGGAGTTTTGTATCTACATTTATGAAGGCTCTGGTTCTATAGTTTTGGTTTTGTATCAGAGTAATGTTGGTCTCATAGAATGAGCTGGGAAGTGTTCTTTCCCCTTGTTTTCTGGATGAGTTTGTGTAGATTAGTATCATTTCTTTAGATGTTTGGTAGAATCTGTAGTGATGCCTTTGTAGTAATTTCTTTGTGGTTCTTTGTGGGAAGGTTCCCCCCCCCCC